CTGTTTTGTTTTTAGGTGATGGAAAAGTCCTAAGAAGAGAGAGGAGGAGTTTATCCTTTTCTTCTACCATGCAAGATGTAAATGATTTTGAATTGCAACATCAGAATGTTGCAACTGACACTGAAAGTTTTATGGGTTATTTCCCCCTTCTTACCTCCTTTTCTCACAAAGCATGTCCTCCATCTCTCTCTCTCTCTCTCTCTCTCTCTCTCTCTCTCTCTCTCTCTCTCTCTCACACACACACACACACACACACACACACACACACACACACATTCTTTAGGGTGAGAAGGGCAGAACAGGCTTTGGAAAAAAAGGAAACAGTCCAAAGAACAATACATCACGAGTCCGCAGTTTAGGAAAATAACAAAGGAGAAAGCAGCAGCCTGCGCCCAGGGATGCTGACAGCCCTTCCAGCTGAGCAGCAGTTTGCATGGTGCTGAAATCCTGCTTAGTAATGGATTTCAGTGGCTCCCGCCTGGGAGTGTTTGGGGGAGATAAAGGGCGAGCTGCAGGCAGTGACTCTGACCTGTTTTCAGTTCTAGACAACTGCCTGTTGTGGCTGCAGCGTCTGCCTTTCTGGATGTGGGCATGAAGGTTCCCTCTGCAGTCCTTGCCGCCTGCTTTTAAAAGGCAGGGTTTTCTGGGGCGGGGCGGGGGGAGTATTCTTTGTTTTTTTGGATTTATTATTGTGCTGTTGTTGTTAACTTTCCTTGTAAGGTTTGCTAGGACCTCCATGCTGATGAACTGCCAATTTGCATTCTGCACCCTGCCAACCGTCACCTGCCCACAGCACCACCATTACCCTACTTCTCGGCTCTCTGCTCTTCTAGTTTCTGCCTCAAAGCCCTTGTGTTTTACTCTTGTCTTGAGCCTGGGGAATTCTCTTCTCTCGCTGCCTTTTTGCCTCCTTCAGGTAATGCAGCATCTGCCTGTGGCACTCAGAGAGCCTGAGTGTCAAAGCCAAGGGCACTTGCTGCAAGTCCCCAGGGATGACCACGCCAGGGTGGTCACATTCTCAGACCTGGCCCCTGGGGCCTCCTGCCATCCCACCGGCTAAACAAGCTCCCTCCCGCTCGGCAGTTGTTAAAGCCGGGAGAGTGTGCAGGGAAGCTGGGAACACTGGGGTTGGCTCTTACTCCCAACCCTTGTAAGCTCTTCGAGGTGGGGCAATGTATGTGCCTGGGCTGCCACGAGGAGTGAGTGCCCAGGTGCGTGTGAAGTATTGTAGCAGCAAGAACTTGGCCGTCAGGCAGCCCAGGCCCAGGGCTCCGCGCTACCACCTGGAGCCGTGTGCCTTGGGCATGTCGCCAGGGTCGCTGGAGGTTCTGCTTCCTTGTGGGCAGACTGGGGTAATGATAGTACCTCGCTTGCCAGTTTGGGAGAATTAAATGGGATAATAATAGTAATAAGTCTCATTTGCTGATGGCTTACTCTGTCAGGATCTAAGTGCTTTATAAGAATTAGCATCTATGTTTATGGTCCACTAATGCAGTGTAGTTATGCTAATGCATAAAAATAAAAATATTATACATTGCAAAGCATTTAGTATCCGTGTGTGTATAAAGAGATTTATTTTAGACGTACACAACTGTGTAGTTCCGTCTGTGTAATCATGCTATATATCAGAGAAAAGACATATACATATTATTTGAATCTCTAAAATGTGTATGGATTCATCTAAGTTATGCAGATAAGTAGAGAAATGATTTAAAAGAAAAAAAATGCTGGCAGGCTAAGTGCTGTGCATCTTTGAACACATCTTATTCCCAGGAGAACCCTGGAGGGAGGTACTGTTCCCATCCACGTTTTAGATAAGAGATGGTTGAAGCACAGAGGCTGAGAATTTTCAAGGTGACTCTCACACAGGTGCCTGTACGTAGACAGGTGTGTGTGCATAAGCGCAGAGATTAAATATGTATTTTGTAACGGGCCTGGAACTGCAGTGAAACCATGTTAGCCAGTCTTCTTATTGCTTGGTTTGTTCTCAATACAAGCTACAGCCCTGTTCCCTTTAAGAAGTGACTCCATTAGGGTTAAAAGAACCCCTGGTGTTTTCTTCCTAATACTGCCTTGTTGCCCAGAAATCATTCCCCACTTTGAGATTGTGGGTTCACTCCCTTCTGACCCCAGATATCTGTCGTCAAAGCAGCCTGATTCGCGAGGCCACAGAGACTTTTTTCCCACCCGTTTCGTGGCCCACCTCCAATTTTCCAGTTGGGCGATGAGTGCGTAGCCTATGAGGTAAGACTGGGCTCTCCCAGGAGGTTCTCCCAAAGTGCCAGGGGGCCAAGTGCTCCTGTTCACCCCATATCTACCTCCCTCAGGACATCAGATGAGAGCAATGGGAAACCCAGTTTCACCCGTGAACTGAAGGGCTCTGCTTTGGGCTGTGACATGAACATCAGATTGAAGCCTCAGCAATGGCACATGAGATTGTCACATCCTTCCGGAAAGACTGCACCTGCTGAATTTATATACAAATCTCCCAAAGAGATCATATATGTTTGTGTGTGCATGAGCACACGTATTGTCCAACAGCGAATTTACACACACACACACACACACACACACACACACACACACACACACCAGGCTTTCCCAGGAATACGACTATTCTATCTCTTCTGAGAATACTATTTCCAGTACTGATCCTGAACTTTATGGGTCACAAAATAATCAGGTTGTCATGAGCAAGGATGAGAATGTGCGTCTTACATAGGTACAGGCAGGTAGATGCTTGAGTACATGTGGGCATGCGCACACCCACCTGCACATGCACATTGATGGGTCCTCCTGGCGTTATGAGGGTTGGATCTGTGGGGAGAACCTAACAAGAGCACCCTCAGGAAGTTTGCGAAGGTGGTCCCTCCCACAAGGCGGTGGTCCTCAGCCTGGGGAATGCCCAAAGCAGATGGGGCCCAGGAATCTGCTTTCAAACAAGCTCATCAGGTGTTTCTAAGAGAGGAGGTCGTGGGATGGCCCCTCAGAGGGGCACTGCCACAGCAGTAAAGGATGTCTGCTGTGCGTGCACGTGCGCAGCATGCACATGGCCATGAGTGCATGCGTACATGCATGTGTGTGCATGTTATGTTGCCTGGGATAGCGGAGTGCTCACAGAGCTCCCTGCTTTCCAGGAAGTAGAAACAGCCTTCAAATGTCACCCCATATTATGGAGGTCCTCAGGGTGGTGAGTAGGAAAATGGGACGGGACTGAGAGGGTGATCTGAGTGATGGAACTGCACCTGCACTGTTTTATTTTATTTCTAATACGGAGGTCTTACTGTGTCATGAAAATATTGTTTTAAGAAAAAAATTGCAGGTGGGATGAAACTCTACCTCCTGGGCATTGTCCTCGAAAACACAAATAGCCTCCACTTATACCCAGTCCTGTGCACCGTACATGGCCTTCCTCTGGCTGCCTGGCTCATCCTGCCCGCACTGCAGGGGACACACATTTGCATCCGCTGGCGGAGCCTTTGAAGAAGCCTTTTCAGTTCTGCCATCGTTTTTATTTACTTTACACTTCACATGAAATTTATAGGCTTACCTTCATTTTAGAGAAGAGCCTGGTTTTGGAGATTCTGTAAATGACTGCTTTTCACATCTCCACTTACATCCTCGGATTTGGAGAGGGTGGGGACTCAATTAGAAAGCCAGCAATTTAGGAGGTAATTATCTTCCTCCTTGCCATATGCCAGGAGAAAGCTCGCGACGTCTTTGCTGTCATTGATACAGCCTCACATATTTTGTAAGGACAGTACTAGAAGCCCAGGTTTAACATGACCCCCCCACCACCACCACCACCCCCATCATAAATAATGGAGCAGAATTTTGGAAGAAGGCATACGCTCCAGGCTCAGACAGATCCTCATGGGACCTTGCTTCCCACAGTCGCTAGACATGACTTCAGGCAAATCATATGACTTATTAATTCTCATTGTCTTCATTTATAAAAGGAGGGTCATACTGCCTTCAAGGACCAATTGACACAGGGCGATGGGAGTTGACTATGACCCTCCCAGTTCTCCATATTACAAGGAGTTTACAGGGAAGGGACCCTTAAGTATACTTGACGTGGTGTGATAATTGCTGGTAAGACAACCTGCCTTGTGTATCTGTGTGGGGCACTCAGGCTAAGTCCTATCATTTCTAGAGTTGAATGCTCACGGGCCAGGAGAAAAGAGCCCCCATGGACAAAGCATGCTGGTTTTGGGGTCCGGGCCTTGCCACTTGCTTGATGTGTGATCTCAGATGAGTTAAGCTCTCTGTGCCTCAGTTTCCTCCCTGTAAATAACCATAGCTTACAGTCGGTGAAGTACAGCAGTGAGCCGGTTGCATAGATCGTCTTATTTATTCCACATGAGAATATTAAGAGACACGTATTGCTATCATCCGGGTTTATGGGTGAGGAAACTGAGGCACAGAACTCTGGCTTAACTTGCCCTGGACTGCAGCTGGCAAGTGACAGAATCGGGATTCAAACTCCCAACATCTGCTTCCAGACCCCACATATTGAAAACTTGACAGGGGTATTAAGATAATTGAATGAGACAGAAGTAAGATATTATTAAGATAACTAAATGGGGTAGATCACCCTGATAGAAGTATTAAGCCATTAAATGAAATAAGGAACACAAGAGCCTAAGCTGGATTCGTGGCCCATAGTAGGCACTCCATAAACGGGAACCTAGCACTTACTGGTTTTCTCAGCCTCATCATACAAGCCTCCCACCACCCCAGAGTTGTATTAGTCACTAGGACCGATGTTTCACTGAAATTCACAATTTGTTTTTGTTGTTTTGTTTTCATCCAAAGACTGACATTTCCACGCTGGGGAACAGCCCTGTGTGCCACACTGCCAGTGCACCTGCAGGGGGCGCCACCAGTGACTATAGCAGCCTCCTGCTCACCTGGGCAGCCCACACCACGCCCCCTGCTGGATACACCCTTGAAAGAAACACGCAGAAGCCAAAGGACTAAGAACACCAACTCACAGGTACCTTTTCAGACTAAGCTTTTATTTTTTTGATATTACAAACCAGTTTTCTTTATTCACAAACCACTGTAAGTGATATAAACACTAATTTCTAAAGACAGATATACACATTTTCTGGGTTTGCAGATTGCGTGATGTGTGTGTTAAGAAGTCACTATAGGCCACACATGATATTAATCTTTTTTCATAATTCATAATAGCAATAGTTATTTAGATAAATGAAAACATTCCAAATAAATACTGTTTTAAAAAATCCAAAATGTCTGTTTACATCTCTGACATACATTTTAAAATGACTTGTTGGCATCTTGGAGGAGTGCCTAGACAGAAGATCTGCAACCTCAGTTGGCACCCACTTGCTCTAAATGATTTTATTAAAACTACATACAGTCATGGGGGAAAAGTACAGCTCATCAATGAAAATCAAAACTGCAAATTAATTTTACTTTAACCAACACAGTAAGAATTCTATGTTTGTGATTCCAAATACAATGCAAATTCTGGAGTGTGAAATTTGAGGCAATTGGGAGAAATCTGTTTATTCTCCCTGGCCCCCTGTTCTTTCTCTCTCTCCCCTCCGGGGTAGGATGCCATAGTATTTTAAGAAATCCTTGCCTTTCAAAGCATCAACTGTCATCACATTGCTTCCCAGGTGGGGGAATGGGAATGCCTTAGTGATGCTATAAAACACCTCTCTTCCCCTCCCCACCCCCACCCAGAGAAGCCTGCGGAAAAGAACGTCTGATACGCTTTGGGCTGCTGAGCGGTTTCCCCCCTTTCTCTCTGGGTTCAAGACAACCGTCATCTGCCTTAGATATCGAAGCTACAGAAACTTGGTTTTCAAATCTTGTGAAACTTTATTGATGGTTTAATATCCAACCGATCTTACTGCATGCACATAGGATGACAAGAATGCTGGATCACAAACACTTTTTTTTTTTTTAAAGTTTTGTTTGGTTTTGTTTGAAAGCAGAGTTGTTACAGCGGATTGGCAGGTTCACAGCGGTGAGTTGATAACTTACTAAAGTGCTTGCCAGACGGCCGGCACTGTACACATGAAGACTTAACTAGGGCAGCAAAACTACTGGGGACAGCTTGCTGCTGTTTGTTTCATTTAAATACAAAAACAGGAAGACCCGTGACAGATACCCCAACTCAGGTTAACTTGTAAACAGGACAACATGGAAGGCGTTCAAACAGAAGTAATCCGGACAAACTGCAATTTTTCAGCCGTGTGTGTCGCTCTGGCCCTGCTTCTGAGGTGGGGGGGCTTTGTTCTTCAGGGAGGAGGAGGGTACACCTACATTTTTGCTTCCTTCTGACAAGTGTCCTGGGCCTTGGAGACAGAACTAAAGTTACCGGTTTGAGATCATCACTGTGACCAGGAAGAATAGGGGGTGGGGTGGGGGGAAAGTGGGCAGGCTCTCACAGACTGAAAAATTGCAGCTTGCTCACATAACACAGTCATGTTTCAAAAAGTACCAAGCTGACGAAAATACCATGATTATCTCTACTCAATGATTGCAATACTTGTAAAATGCTTCTAGAAATCCGAATATGATTATCATGTAATTCCATAAAAATTATACGTCTGTCTCTAACAGTTGTTCTACTAGGCTAAAACTAAAGCTTCATAGACTGTTTCTAGAACTTAACAACTCCACTGCACAGATGTAAATTTTATACATTTTTTTAACTGGTACAAAGAATTTAAGTTTTTATTACTTTCTTTTTTTGGAAAAAAAGAAAAAAATAGAAACAGTGCTTTTTATCACCTTTTTATTAATGTTATTTTTTTCCCTCCCATAATATAAAAGTCAGCAATGATATCAATAATTTATTATACTGGAAGAAATATAAAAAGAATGCTTGTTGATGGCCTAACTAGCAGTTTTTGCCTAAATAACTAGCGGCTGGTTAAGAAGCTGAATACTGCCCAGGGGGAAAGGTTAAAGGGTGGGTTTGCACAGCTTCATTCAACTTGGATGCACAAGGGCTGCTAGAAGCATCCCCTTAACAGCATAACCTTTGGCCTGAACGGACAATGAGTAACTTAGAACCGTTGCTATATGATCGTTGGTGCAGTGGGTCGTTTAGATTCATCAGTTACTATTTTTTTTTTTCTTTCAGTCGAACCCCAGTCCCAATCCCCTAAGTCCCTCCCACCTTTCCCCTTTCATAAAATAAAATAATGCAGATGCAGAAAAAATGACTACTGTAGTCACTTACACTCTTCCCGAACAGCTGATAACCCCAGTAGCTTACTATTCAGCATATATAATTCATTTACATGATAAAGCACTCTGGATATGGCCCTAAACCAGTTTTTATTCATAGCTAGCATCTCTCTAGGTCAACCACAAAAAAAAAAACAAAAAAACAAAAAACAAAACTCCTACAGCCAGCAACCAAACTACGGAACCTTCAGAAATTAAAGACCCACAATAGTAAAATACACAGAACAAAATATCTGAGGTATAAGATAAAAAATGTAATTTTTTTTCCTCTTTTTAGTTTTTAGAGTTGCTAAAATGATGCACTACTGCATGTATTGCAATACCCAGGCCTCGGAAAGCTTCCTTTCTCCCCACATTGGAAGGTTTTTATGGTTTTGTCATTTAGTATGGAGCAAAACGGTTGTATCCCCCTCGGTATATACTAGCCTGCAATGAAGAAAGAACGAGACCCACATCATCAGCATGGCTCCTAGTCTTGGCATCAGTCAAGGGTGCAAAAGCATTCTGAAACAAAGCAATTTGAGGGGTGTGTTTTTTACATTTTCCTTTTGCAACACGTGGATCATCAAAAAAAGACTACTCATGTGAAAAATAGACACTCAAACTCAAACAAAATGAAGGCACCCCTACCCAACCCCAGGCCATTCTTGGAGAACTGAAGATAGGGCCAATCCTAACCATCCCCCCTCCCCCCAAGAGCTCCACGGACAGAGAGCCCCTCTGAAACCCAATTCTGTTGGCCAGTCCTGGTAGTTGAAAGGACTCGGATAAACACTGGACCACTGAAGGATGCGCAGTGTCTCATTCTGTTTGCTCATTTGATTCATTAACACTATGATCCATCGGGAAAATCTCAATCTACACTCAAGAGGTTGAATGCAGATGACTGACTGAATGTCGTAATTCCACTCTCTTTTCCAACACATAACTCAAGTGGACTAGGTGTTGAAGCAGAGTGGTTGAAGGCAAAATCAGGATGGAAATTTAAATCAACTCCTTACTTGACGTGGCTCAATGAGCTGTATGGGAATTTGCGCTTAAGAGGGGAGTCATACGGATGGATTGCTTGATGTAACCGAGCTTGTGCAAAAGAACATGGTCCCCAGATCGTGGCTGAATTTCTACCACCACGCTCCAGCGAATTGTCTGGCCATGGCTTTAGACGGCTACGAGGTGGCACTTAATTTATTTCCTTTTTCTAAAGGTATTGGCGATTCAAATGAATGCCTATGGGGATTGAGTTTTAGGATAAAGGACTGAGAGTCTTGATCCCAAGCAGAAAGCTGCATGCCAAAAGCTGTGTAATGATTGCATACGCTCTCACGTGATGGGCACGTCTTACTGTACTCAAGAGTTTTAGTGCATAGAAGTTTGAACAAGTACAGGCAAATTCACCCACCCTCACCTCCCCTGTTTGCCCTCCCCCACCCCCCAAACAAAAACCCAACCCCCCAAAAAACAAAAGACAACCCCCAAACCCAGCTGATTCCTTCTAATTCTTTATGTACTAGGCACACACACAAAGTGTGCCCCTCTCTATTTTCTTTCCTGGGCGACTATGACTTTAAACATGAATTGTAATAGGGGAGGAGAGGCAGTCAGATTCTCAGCTGCCTGACAGCAGAGGCCTGGAAGTGTGCAGCTTAGCTCCTCTGAAGTCTGTGCTGGGGCTGGAACCTTGGGGCTATGTGAATGAGCAGCAAGGGAGGGAAAAAAAAAAGAAAAAAAAAGTTCTGCATTGACACTGCATTCTGTTAGTGATGGATTTAATTATCAAAATGACTAATTATTCCATTAAGGTAAGTGCTCTGCTAGGTGAGACTTGCAAAATTAGAAATATAATAACTTACATGCACTACATTGCCAAGAAATTAAGACATTTATCAAGTTTACTGGGAGGATTAATGTGGCATTTTAGCTGCTGTTAGATTAGCACAAGAGACAAATTCAATTAAGGGGAGAGTGAGAGGACGTCAACCGTCAACCCGTACAAAGGTCCCAGCTGGGGAAGGGAAGGGAGCGGGAAGAAGTGAGGAAGAGGAGGAATTGGTACTCACCATGGCACCAACGCCGTAGGTGGGGGCTGGAGCAAGTGTGTGGTGGTAGGGGTCGGCAGCATAAACTCGTCCGTAACTGAAAGGGAAATAGAGGTGAAGATTAATCCATAATATGCAGTTACAAAGTAATAATAGCAACCATAAAATGCAAAATACCAAGACAGTGTGAAGGGGCCCTATTCATTTTCATACCTAAGGAACATATTCCTATCTGCCACATAACATTTAAAAATTCTTTTGTCCATTTAACATGGCTGGTCTCTCATAGGACCATTTCTAACTGCTCATGCGGCTACCTTGGAGACCGAGGTAGGCAAACAAACAAACAAACAAACAACACAAAACAACATGAAAAAATGGTTTTAAGAAGCCCAGTATACCCAGTACCCCCAGAGGACATGTTAATACTCAAGAGAGATGGTCCTTTTCTCCTAATTTAGCTGTCACCAATCAAAGGAGAAAGGGTGAATCAAAATGGGCAAAGTGACCCAGTCTTTGCAGTTAGGGTCCAACATTTTGTTAAGAGCAAACACACTCAAATAGAAGCATCCTTGAAGGGTTTCTGGGATGCCACCCCACCCCACTCAAGAGTTATAGCTCATTTGATTTCAATCCTATCATTCCAGAACCTCTAACTCATCAATCTATGGCCAGGTTCTGGGAAGGAACACATTTCAAACAGTATTTCTTGATGACAGTTCCTTATCTTCGAGTTTTTCTGTCTCTCTTTCCCATCCTCCTTCCTCCTCTACCATGACTTCCAGCACAGGCCTCAGAATAAAGAATGAAGAAGGGAAGGAAGCCTGATGCATTCAGTGTCTATTAAGTGTCTGGGACTGAATGATGCCACAGATCAGAAATTAGGGTTCAGAGAGGTGAAGTCACTTGCTCAAGATCACAGAGCTAGACAGTCAGAGCTGACCTTCACATTTCTCAGAGCCACTGGAAGGATCTTTCCATGGTGGCATGTACCCTTACTTAAATGGCCTGCCGGATATCTCCTTGCAGGTAGTTTGAACATTGCTCCTTCAATAATGATCAAAGCTGAGATGCAATCTTAAGTTAGGTTCCCCAGGAGAGCCTGAAATAGAGATTCTTGTGCATGTAAAGAAGAGGAGAGAGAGAGGTAGGCAGTTCAATAGCCAGGGGAAGAGGAGAAATGGCCTGAAATAGAGACTAACTTTGACCTGACCCTGTGAGTTGTGGCCCAGAATGAATCCCAGCTGGAGGCAAAGGGGTTCGTTTTTTGAACACTCATGTAAGTTGAGCATTAGCTGCAGGTTTCTCCGGGGGGTGGACAAGAACTGAGTTGAAGTGACTTTCGTGGGCGGAAGGTAATTCTCTGAAGAAGGGAGCACCTGAGCACTGTCAGCAGCTGGGGAACGGGGGTACCAGTCACTAAATGGGATATATGTGGATTGCCCATAGCTTTTGGCTCTTGGACTTTCCTTTAAAGAATGAAGGAACAAGGCCGGAAGAAATGGTTTGTCTGTTCTATCAACTACTGTCAACCTTAAGCCACCTCCCATCTCTTGGAGTCTAATTTCCACAGGCTTTACTCTTCTTCCCTATCTTTTCACCATTTTGCTTCCAATCTTCTTGCTCATAGTTGGTGAATAAGAATGTACTGGATGGGCCTGGCTAGCGTGGCTCAGCGGTTGAGTGTCAACCTATGAACCAGGAGCTCATGGTTCAATTCCCAGTCAGGGCACATGTCCCAGTTGCTGGCTCAATCCCTACGAGGGAGGCGTACAGAAGGCAGCCAATCAATGATTCTCTCTCCTCATTGATATCTGTCTCTCCCCCTCCCTTCCTCTCTGACATGAATATATTAAAAAAAAAAATCTACTAGATGGAGCATATAAGCCAGTCAGAGAAAGGCAAATATCACATGATCTCACTCATATGTGGAATCTAATGAACAAAATAAACTGATGAACAAAATAGATCCAGAGACATAGAAGCAAGGAGCAGACTGGAATCTCAGAGGGAAGGTGGGGGAGGTGGGTGGGTGGGAAGAGATTAACCAAAGAACCTGAATGCATATATGCATAACCCATGGACACAGATAATAGGGTGGTGGAGGCCTGGGATGGGGGGAGGGGCAGGGACGCGCTGGCTAGAAGGGGTCAATGGGAGGGAAAAGGGGACATATGTAACCCTTTCAACAATAAAGATTAAGAAAAACAAAAAAGAATGTACTGGATGGGCCTGGCATGATTGCTTACACCATGGGACCCTGAAAGTTTGGAAGAAGTTGGGTGAAGACCCTTCTAACTCATGGGCTCTAGTTTAGACTCCAGGTGGGAAAATGATTTGACCAGTTCACATTGGATGTGTCTTCTTCCCAAGCCCTCCTTGCCTGTTCAAGGGGTACCAAGCTCCAACAATCCAGATGAGGCTTTCTGCTTCCACACACTGTATTCTCCTGATCCTCACAAGCGGTATGAGAATGGATGTTTCTCAGTGAAACAGACAACCCACCCTCCCCTTTGCACTTCATTCCCTGAGACACCTGCCAGCCCTCTGGCTCATCACGAAAGGCCTTCCAAGACCCCCATTTCTCTGGGAGGAAAAACAGATGGAAGTCCAAGACAGAGGGCATGTTAAAACAAGAGGAATGATGACATTTTTGAAGAAGTCACTCATTCAGGGAGATCACTCATGAAAGCTGGGCCTCGACCCATGCAATTAGAAGTAAATATCCATAGGTGTAAAAGAACATGAGATACAACTTTGTTGTTAATTTTTATTTCATGAGAAAGTAAAGTTGGCATTAGTCCAGAGGGTTAAAAAAAGTGATCATAGAATTATTTTTAATGCACTTTCACTCTGCAAAGCCGGTGGTATGAATAGGACACATACAACAAAAGCGAACGGAAAACCCTTGGGAATGTACTATGTAATGCCACAGCATGCTGTCCCTTCAAAACGGGTATGAAGATGTAAATTCATAGGAATTACTGTTTTTTCTTTTAATTTGGGGAATGATTTTACTGTGGCAAAGATTTCCTCTTTTTGGTAGACGACATGTTGGTGGCCTGAATGCACTGCATGAAAACGTAGCTCCCACCCTTTTCTCCCACGTACTTTAATTGTACGTTCTTATTTGTTTATAACACCGGGCAGAGCCTCAGTGGGAAGCCCAAGGTAACAATTTGGCAATGTTCTCTGCCTGGGCAGGAGAAAAACACAGCAGTGCGGAACTATTCCTGGTAAATGAGCAGGCGCCTTTTCTCCTCAGGGTGACCTCTACCTTCAGATTCTGATGGTTTTATTATGATTAATAAATTTCATTTCCACAGAGGAAAAGGGACCATGTCAGCTCAAACTGAAAGCAAGGAGGCTTCTTTTCAAATGCTAATTTCTGAACACGCCCTTGTGTGACACTACAATTTAGACACAAGGTTATTAGGGAAGATGTGGACTCCAGCTCTACTCTCACAACAGCTATGCCAGGCACGTCGGCAACCCTGCACCCTCAGAGCTGGCTAAGCACAGCCTGAAGGAAGAATGGCAAGTCCCAGGGACCCCAATGGAGTGATGGGAAAATGTGTCTGGACTGCCGTGTTATGAGTGATCGCACATGGTCACCTCCACCGCACCTGGTCTTGGCCAAGGTGGACCACAGTGCATCAGGTCATGACGCTCTGTTTCCCCGCAGCCCAGCCCTCAGAAATTACAGATGAAATCTTAAATGTATCCACATCATTCCATTCACACTGTCACCATCCTAACATCACATATTTCACCAGAACCAAATCAACAATAGCCTTAAATCTTGTCTCTTTGGCTCCACTTCTGCTTCTCCAAACCACCAGCCATTTACTATTATATCTGTATCTATCAAATCTATCTATTTATCTATCTATCTATCTATCTATCTATCTATCTATCTATCTATCTATCTATCATATATCTATCTGTTCATCTATCCACTTATCTAATTGAGATAAATCTACTTATATCACTTCTTTGCTTAAAACCCTCCCCTGATTCTAGAATACAATCCAAACTTTTCTGAGTCACCCCTGTCCCTCTCTCAATCCTCTCCTGCACCCCTCTAGCCCTTCTTTACTGTGTTCCAGGCACATTGGCCTCTTCAATGCTCCTTGGACACATGCAAATTCATTCTTTCCTTAGGGCTTGGGCACTCACTCATTCTCCACCCGAATTGCTGCCTTTTCTTCTTTATGTCTCAGGTCAAATGTCACTTCCCTAGAGAGATGTTCCCTTTCCTGACCCCTCTTTCTGAATCACACTTTCCCACCCTCTCCTCACCCCCTCATGCCCAGTAGCAAATCTCTAGTAATTTTGTCTACTTACTTCTCTCCCTGGTTATTCACCTGTCCCCCCTCCTGCACTGTCAGCCCCATGGAGTCTGGGGCAGAGTCTAGCACAGCACTGGGCACAGTGCAGAGGAACCAGGGCCACGCCACTGCCACCGAGTGAGTGGAGGCAGCAAGAGGGAGGGGTGGAGAGGAGGGAAGTGTACCCATCATTATGATTCTGTTAGTGGCACAGCTTTCCGAAGTCCTTAGGTCAGCTGCTCTTAGAAACATTCAAACCCCTTAAAGACACCCAAAGAAAACTTTCTGGGGAGTTTGGAAATACAGTGTGTAATTTCCCATCACCCCCGAGAGTTTATAAATCACTGCCCAAGTTGTCATAAGGCTCACCAAAACCCTTTAGGGAAAAAACAAATAAACAAAGGAATGAAAGGTAACAGCTTGATGCTATCATGAGCCCTTGTCTAATCTTGACCTTAGCAACAACTTAAAATGAGGTGGCCCACACCGGGCTCTGGGAAGGGCAAAGGCCTTGGGGCAAGAAGATCCAGGTTCAAGTTCTGCCTTTGCAATGTCCTTGCTCAATGACTTGGACACTGATACCAAGGATACCAATAAAATGGTATCGTTGTATCTGAGCCCTGCCTAATTCACAGATAAAGTGCATGGGAAGAAACCACACATGTTTTAAAGCAGTCTGCAGATTATGATACAAGGGCTTTTATATAGGTTTTCACTAGCCAATCTCTGTAGAAGGAACTGAAGGATCCTCTTCTAATATGATCAT